AAAAGGAAATTATCCAATTATCCTTTGCCAGCTTTTGTCCTCGAAGGTTTTTACGTGCACACCATACACACCTCTCCCCTCCTTTATTTTATAAACATGTCCAAATTATCATTCATTTGTTGACATGTGCAACATGCAAATCCACAAACTACAAGATCCAGTCACTCTTCAGTGTCCCTGCGGCACCAGCAGTGTTTGCTACTTTTCCACTTTATTAACACGAAATAAATAATAAAATAGCAAGCATATTTTATTAACATGGCAGGAGAATGTCTCCATCAAGCACTTCATGCCTTGCTTTTGTGAGCTACCCTGTACATTAAATCTAATAAGTTATCAATGTTGTTGAAAGCCTTTACATGTTTAATGATTCCCTTAAAACTATTTACAGCAAATGCTATTGTTATGGCTATTTTAAAARCTCATAAAGTTTTTAAATTATATAAAAAATTAGAATTTTGAAATCTTATAAAAATTCATGAAGTTATGGCCATATTGCTAGAGAATATTGCTAAAGTTAATATCACCACGTCTTCACAGGACTACAGGACATTTTGTATAAATACTCTTGACCAGATCCTGAATAATGGGGTCACAAAAGAATTTAAGATCTTCACAACTTAGGTATTTGTCTGGGAAAAATAACTACGTTGGTAAACATGTGCATTTGCCTTCCAACTTAAAGCCTCACAACAAAGTCAGTTTTCACATTTCAGAATTTTACAAGCACCTACTTTTCTGAAGATGACTTTGACAAAAAACATTAAACAACAGATGTGCATTTTAATTAAGTACATAGGAGAAGTAATTTTTTATGCAGAGAATCTCATTTCAGTGACAGTTTTGAAAATACTAGCCTGTATTCTCACTGGAAAAAAAAGAAAAAAGAAAAAGCCTGATTTCTGTTCAGTTTGGCGCTCCAGTTAAATTTCCTACCCATTATAATGGAGGAGAGCAGCAAAAGCAATGAACTCCTGTATAAATAGAGCTGAAAATGGAAAAAACTGACACATTAATTACTGAACTACTGTACTTTTACAATGTTTTCAAATACATATTTTACCACAATTTTAAAGTTTAGTCTTCTGCAGGTTTACTGACACATTTGCAAAGTAAATGCAAATAATAAAATAGGAAAATTTGTATTTTGCTCCTTTACACTTCTGTTGATAAAAGAATCCAAGTGGTGCTCCCGGGGCTGAAAGAGTCTAAAGAGGTTAGGACATTTTGGTTTTAATAATTCTTGAATTTCACTGAAAAAAAACTAGCATAATTCATTTCAAGATGAAAGGCACCATTGTTGCTACTCTCCACACACTGCTAATTTTGCTAAGACTAAGGAGTCAACATAGAACTGACAAAAAGCATATGAGAGTATTTGGCTGAATTTTGTAAAGAAGTTAAACACCTTGGACTGATAAAATTCAGCTCAGGATATTCCAGTGACAGTTGAAGCCATTTAAGAACTCAACCCAAGTAGTGAGAAGGAGGGGCTGCTTTCCCTTTTTGCCTGAATCAAATATGCTTTTTGTTTAACCCAAATTTAAAAAAAAATGTCAGTTCATGTTGGTTGGTGATTACAAACATAAAATGCAGATGTACTTTTGAACCAAGATAAAAAACCTTGCTAAAAAAGCTGGGGATATACACATGTAGCTTAATTTTAATGAGATTTCCAACACAGACAAAAGATTATTTAACAAAATGAAGTGTGGGATCTCAAGAAAGGAAAAGGAATAATTTCTGAAATCTTTAAGCTCCTTTTCTGTTCTTTCTCCAATCTTTCASTCATGTTCCTTTTGAATACAGGAAAGAAGTTTTCCATATTGAATTTTCACTGCAGACTGGCCTTGGAATCCAAGCACTATCCCATAGAAAGGCCTAGTCAGTATTAAAAACATAATATTGGAAACTTATGAATGGTTTTCCTGTTAATAGCCAAAGTTTTATCTACAATCAGAAAACTAGAAACAGCTGACCTAGATGCTGATTATTCATCTACCTCAAAACTGAAGCAAATTAGGCAGAAATAATTTGTTAGCTCAAGCTGCCTTTCTCATGAAAAGGCTTCTGAAAGAGCATAATTTATGAGGTGAAATTCTGTGCATAAGCATAGAAATGATTTTTCTTTTTCCTTCACATAATGACTCAGAAAGTGGGCAACAGAATCTGCCACTCTGATACTGCCAAGAACCACAGCGCTGCAAAAACTTCGGTCTTCTCCCATGCAGATTAAAGATGCATTCCCGCATCAGCGTGCTCTATTCCTTATTCACACCTATTAACCTCAAGTATCAACTGCCTTGATGCAATTTAGTATTTGAGTGATCCTAAATTAAGTTCTTTGTCTCAGCGTGCCAGAATTCTGCGGGCAGGGACAGTTACACAAGCACACTTCAAAGCGGCAGCGTCTTTGCCTTCAGCGATCGCACGCCACTGACTCGTTTGGGTGACCTTCCTTGCTCATTAGGAGCTCTAGGTGCACGTTGTAAATGTCAGAGAGCCTGAATTAATGTGGGGATTTTTTAAAAAAGCAGATTTTTGCCACATTTTGATGATATGTTTGTGATGCCTCGGGTCTCATCCAGCTATTTGCTTACAGACAGCTCTGATTTAGAATTGCAGAATGTCCTGAGTTGGGAGAGAACCATTGGGATCCCAGTCCAGCTCCCAGCCCCAAGAATCCCACGAGCCTGAAAGCATTGTCCAAATGCTCCTGAACTCTGTCAGGCTTGGTGCTGTAGCCACTGCCCTGTTCCAGTGCCCAAGCACCCCCTGGGTGAGGAACMTTCTCATGATATCCAATCTAAACCTGACGTAGCTTCACCCCATCCCATCAGGTCCTGTCACTGCTCACCAAAGAGAGAAGATGAGAACCTGCATGTCCTTATGAACCTTAAATTCATGCCACTCTGGTATTCATTCACTCTAGGACTACAAGGCTTTGATATATGATGTACAAAAATGGCAATATGTAAAAGAAAGAAAGAAAGCACTCTTTCCCCTGACAYTTTTTTCCTGCTTTAGCAGTATATGACAACATGAAATATCAAAATACAGGAATAAGCTGACAGCAATTCATACTGCCCAACAACATTTATGGACTTTCATGCTCACACATAAAATTAAGATCTCACTTTTTTAATACTTCACACCAAGATACAGCATTTTAGGAGAACAAGATGTAGAAAAGAGCAACCCAGTATCAAGGGAGATAAGTCAAGAGAGAAGACTGAGCATAAGAAGGAAGRAAAAACTGATCCCAAGCTGAAGGCTGCGACTCTTCATACAGCCACTGACTGGCTGAATGTGCACAGAAAGACTTTCCAAGCCAGGTGGGACCAGCAGAGCTGTAATGTCTACTGGCTACGACTTCTCTTATAAAAGTAAAATCGGTTTGTTCTCTATCTGCATGTTACAGATACAGAACAGCTGAAAGAAGTATGACATTTTCAGTGAGTTCAGAACAGAGGTCTGCCCACAACAATGCAGWCAGGAAGCTCTGTACCTTTTAACTGCCTGGTAGCATATCTGAGAACTTCTATACAGAAACAGCTTAGAAATATGTATTACTACAACACAGTGACAGGCCAAAGGCACCCACTTAATGAAGGAAAATTTAATGACAATTACATGCACTCATTTGACTAGCTCAATCCACAAAACTAACTTAAACCTAAGAAGTGAAAGGATCAACCCCATTTCCCACAATTCCCAATATCATTCAGAAAAAAGTTTAATTAAAAGCCATTTAAACAGTATGTTATAGCAATATGTCACTTCTGGCTTCCAACAGCAAAGAGCATCAAATTAAAAATCCACCAATTTATTAAAAGAAACAAAAGGACTAAACCCAAACTTTTGCTTCTAGGTACTTCCTCTTCAATCTAAGTTTCAAAAGGATAACGAAGAATTCCTTTTCAAGTGGAGAAGTTGTTCCGAGGATTTAAAATCACATATTACTGTATTTCCTAGTAATAGGACATATATATTTTTCTAAGTCTTAGGTTAAAAGGTTCTATTATAAAATAAAATTCTATATAAAATTCATGTTTATAATTGCAAGCTTTCTTGATAAAGGTTTGCACTAATGCACTTTCCTGTGTGACTCCGTGAACAGCATCATCATCTTACTGAAGTCACTTTCTTTAGTTTATTTAAAAAGTGGAGTTACTTGCTTTTTCATAACTCAACAGAATTTCAAAAAATAAGGTGTTTGAATTGCAATTTTTAACTTTTGCTTTCTATAAAATTCTATCTTATAAAGAAGACAAATTTCTAATTTTTTTTTTTTTTTGCTGTACACAAAGAATTAAAGCAAGATTATACTGATGACAAGTGACTACAGGTTGCATTCATATTAGAAAAAAGAAATAAAATCAGCTTTCAATTTGTAAAACTTTTCCTCTCAAGCAAGACAGTACAGAAAAGGATATTTTCCTGGAGTTTCAATACCCACTCTGTAGTCCACATAACTTTGGTATGGATGGAAGTTGAAAATAAAAATGAGACCTGCTCTCTCAAATGCTATGACCTTATTGGATTCATGCTTTTCACTCACATAGGCCTAGAGGGAAAAAAAAAAAAAATCAACACTTTAAAAATATTTAATTTCTATCTGAATTAACAAAATCAAGAACCCCACTGCTTCTGTACCTCATTTCAAGTAATACAATTAAAGATTCAAACAACACAGATAAGGGCATTAACAAGCAAACTGAAATTGTTTACCTATGAAATGTCATAAAAAGKTTTTGATAATAATTAAACTGTAGTGTACTTTTTAAAAGGAAATGTAAAATTAAAGAGGTAGAAGCCTRTTCAGCATAGACACTTGAAAAACTCTTGTTCAAAGATGGGTTACACGGTCCTTTCATCACACTTCAGTGAAAAATTGATCATTTTGTCAAATGAAAACTTCAATCTACTTGGGGGGATCTGTATCACATATACTATCACTGGACGATCAAGCACTGGATATAGGTTTTTTTGTTTGTTTATTTTAAGAAATTGTGTGAGAAATACTTTTGATTATCCACATTAAATGGCTGYACATACTACCCTTGTTCTATTAATAAATAGCCATTAATAAATAACTAGACATCAATTTTAAAAAAGTCTTTAAAGTGGATCATGATAAGCATAGAATAAGAAAACAAGAAGAAATTCTAATAATTGAGCTCCTTTTATAAAAGTTACAGTGTGATACTAGAGAAAAAAATGCAAATACAGAAGTGGCAGGTTGAGGACTGGGAGACTATAATTTACACTAGACTCTGTTGAAAGTTTTTCCTCAGAAATGAAGCAATTATTTTTATAAAGTGTATTGTCAGAACAATTTATACTTTTTCAAAGCAATTCTTGGATTGGATTACAGRCAATTTTATAGCCTGCTTTATCCAATCCATGCTCACTAAATAAATAAGGAAAAATAATAGGAAAAGACCTTGCTATGAAGCTAAAAGAGACTGTTTCTCATGTTTCTGTTATCTGTGGAAGAAATTTCAAAGTCATGTTTTGACAGCTTGAAATATATGGTGCGGCATTACACAGAGCTTAATAAATTACTGTTTAAAATTTCAGCATGCAAATTTGGAAATGTTATTCTGCACATGTACCCAACTGTTGACTAAAACTTGTCATTTTGTATATGGAGCTTACCTGAGGAGATGCAAGCCAGCCAAATCTTTCCTCCAATTTATTCATATCTCTATCAAAGGCATTTAGGAATTTATAGCGAAGAAGATCATCCTCAGTAAGATTAAACTGTCTTCTGGCATAGTGGTAGCTCTCATTATTCCCTATTCTGGGGAAGTCAAGCCATTCTGGATGTCCAAATTCGTTACCTGCATTTAAAAAAATTAAAGACCTGTGAAATTACATGCTAAGAATACACTAAGCCTGCAGTAGAAAAATATCTTAATGTGTCTTTCTGCAAGTTTCAAATTTCAAAGAATCCACTTCCATATATAAGACATTTCATTATTATGTCTCATTTATTAATACATCTCTCAGAACTTTCATTCATCTCAGCAGGTTTGTTTGGCCATAAAAACCAAAATATCCATGGACTCCAGGGGAAGTATAAAGTGACAAATGAATTATAAACTCCAGGCTATCCATGCTTAAAAATGTCCCAAAATTTTTTGTGCATGTGCAAGTGCCATAACATCTGAATTTGGTTTTCTATAGCAGGAGTTTCAGTCAGTCTAGATGAGTCTGTCAGTCTCATCCAGATCATCTAGCTCACACAGCTACTGAACAGACTTCTCCTGGAGGCAAAGAACASGTTTACTCAGACTTGGAATACATTCAAAAAGAAGGAAAAAGGTTGACTTATAATCAAGAGAAAGTTTAGCTTCTGTTATGTAGAATCTCCAAAGCAAATCTCAACTGTCAAAGCTACAGATTCAAAACAAGACCTCATTTGGGACACAATATTTTAAGGGACTTTAATGTATCCAAAGTTTTCTTGGTTGTATACTGTCGTTATTACAGTTTGAGACAGCTACAAGTGGATTTAATGATCCTAAGTCATGSTGGGACCCGCTGTCCTGCAGACTCTCAATCATTTTGGACAAGGATTTTGAAACACTGTGATTCATTTCACACAGGACTAAAAAGATTTTAACATTTTAGAGATTACACAACACCTACCCACCATGAAACAGAGACAACAAACAAGTACCTGGAAACAGGTACGGTAAAGTGAAATTTAGATGTTTTCTACAAAAATTAAATTAAAAAAAATGAAAAAAATATTCTCACATTTTGACAAGCTGATATTCAAGTTGTGTCGATGAACTGGAGCTTTGAGGGCCAACAAAGGGCAGGGATGCCAAGAGAAGGCAAGAGATTGCTGGATGGGCACTCTGCATGTGCAGCCACCACCCATCTGCTGTCCCACCCAGCCTGCGCTGCCTGGAGGGCACAGTCAGCACCGACAACTGTGAACTTCGATTTGTGAAGTGATTTTTGTAATTCCATGCTTCACAGGAACAAAGAAATGAGCAGAGGACAAAAGAGAAAAGCCTCATATATATTTAGGAGAATTCTTCAGAGTGGTATCCRCTTTGTAAAGGAACTGACAAGCCGTAAATTAAATTTCCTATTCAAAAGCTAAACCACTAAATTTCCTATTCAGCTCAAAACTGGAAACAAATATAAGAGAATCAGAATCACAGCAGGACTTTCAAAATGACCTTGGAATAATGCTGGACTGAGCTCTTAAATTGTGCTAACAGTATGGGTTGGAAAATGAGGAAAGATATTGCTACAAAACAGACACTSTATCTAAGCAAATTCAATATTCTCTGAAGGGCTAGGCAAGGTATTACCCTCTTTCGTGATCTGCACACTATTGAAAAGATAAACTACATGAGAGAGCTCAGCTAAAGACAGCAAAAAACATCAGAAAGTCAGAGATGATACATATCTTGAAATGATAGGCAAGGAAATCATATCTATTTGTTCAAGAAAAAAAAAAAAAAAAAAAAAANAGATGATACATATCTTGAAATGATAGGCAAGGAAAAAATATAAAAAAGTTCAAGAAAAAAAAAAAAAAACAAAAATGGGGGAAATAAGCAATAGAAGACAGCAAATAAATTAGACTGAGCTAGCCCATCATTTCCATAGATTATTTCACTGTGAGTAGAACAGACTTCCTTCAGGTTTGTAATGCATAACAACTGCCTGAGCTCCACTTGCTTTGACAATTTCCCCACTACAGTAACTGCTGTGGTTCCACTGCTGTTTTACTTTCTTGACTTTGCGAAAAGAACAATACAACTGCAGAAAAATATTAAAAGCAATCTTAATTTCCTAACTATTACTCATGGCTATTAGGAAAAAAAGGGAATTTAGGACAGTGTAGCAACCTGAAAAAAGACTAAAATACTTTCTGCTGCCAGGAATTCAAGTCAAGGATCTAAACACTGCACGCGCTTTGACAGTCTGTGACTGTGRGAACCTTCTGGACAATATACTTGTGAGTTTATAGGAGCTACTTGATTTTAAAAARGTCTCTTGATTTCTCTTTATAGGAAGAAAAACAAAAGTTGATATATTGTAACAGAATGCATTCAAATAGGCATTTTGGTTATGTCTTCAAACTGTGGTATAGGGAAAAGAAAGTGACATTTAGGATGCATTAAGGCTGTGGAGCCTATAAAAAAAAAACACATCTAATATTATTTTTTTTAATTGCTTTTTTCCCCCTAGTTTAACTTCATAACAAATGACAGGAGGGACTAGGAAAGAGAAGGCACAGGTAAGTGACCAACACTTATTTCTAGAGATAACTCATGCCTCCCTCCCCATGTTCCACTTCTCATCTCTGACAAGAATCAACAACAATCACTTCGATACTTAGAGGCTTTCACAATTATCAAGAACTATTACTGGGACTCCTTTTCCACGAATTAATTTATTGTTTGATATAAAGGTCCAAACTGCAGACTGACAAGAAGCCAGATACCACAAATGATGCAAATCAAGACAATGGAACTAACGTGGGGGAGGCAGAGAACAAAGCTGAAATTAACTGAAGTTTTGATTAGAGAAACAAAACAAAGAGAAGTCCTTGAGGTGCAATGCATGCTAATTTTATCTAGGAATTAATTGAAGTTTGCTATTTCTTGCATATTTTGCACACTGGACAATTTATTATGTACAAGATTTCAAGATTACAATTCCAACAAATAAATTAACTTTCTACTGCCATAATGAAAATTTATGTCACCCTTGTTTATGAAGCTAGAAATGCATTTACAACAGAAAGAAGTTAGGCTGCTGCAGATTCTTTTGAAGTTGTGGCCCCACAGGTCATTACAGTTTTCTTGATCTCCCTTCTTCAGACATATTTAGCATCAATTCTCTCTCAAAGAATTAGCCTAAGCAGAACTAAAGGGATATTTAAAAGATGGAGCAGGCARTTTCAAGAGATGCCTGTTATTTGGAGTTGTTTTAATTTTGAATTAAGTGTGACACTGAACACTTTAAAGACAGTTAAGACAAGTAGTTTATTTTATACAAAAAAGGTAAGAAGCTTAATTAGGGTTATAAGACTAAACAAGGTTTTAAATAATCTAAAACACKACAGAAAGTTCCTGTTTAAAGCTGATGAGCTGGAGACTGGACACACTGGGAGAAAATTCCAACTGTTCCACCTAAAGTAYGTCTATCAAGTGTGGAGTTACAACAATTTATAGAAGCCAGATAATCAAATCATGCAGGGCTTATAACTGGTTTGAATTGAACATCACTCTCTCTGTGAACAATGATGACACTGCAAGGATCTACASTCTATAAATAGAATCAATGGAAATCAGATCTGGATAGCATATGGTATTTATCATTATTTCAAACAATAAACACTTCAAAGAATGAATCTCCATATTTCCCAGTCACAAACCTCTCGGGTGTGAAGTTATTCTGATACTCAGGTTACTCATATTTTTACTAAATCTTAACATTCATTACAATCAACACCAAAAAATAAACACTATACTGCCTTAAAATGATGAAAGAATGAGCTTCAGTGCAAGCACTCATTTAGTCTTGTAATCCAAAAATAAAATAAAGTGAAATTCCACATTTCAGRACTCCTTCTGAAATACCTGGGCTAGATGACATAAACACCTTCGTATTTTTTTTAATCCTCTGGCACTGGTATTCAATGACATAYTGGGTCAGAAAAGACTAAGAAATCRGTYGAGGCAAACAATTATATTTGAATTCCTGCATAAAACACAGGCCAGAGGAAATCTCTGGCATGAGGTAATAGTAGAGAGGGCTATTGGTAAAGCCAGTTCTGTGAAAAAAATGTATTTTTGTCCCCTTTTATGAAAATATCAGATATTGTCTCCTCACAAATTATGAAAGATAAAAATCAGGTTAAACACCATTTTTGTTTTGCAGCTTGGATCTTCTATATTTCGTAAGGGAGAAGGGAGGGGATGATGAACCTTCCCTTTATTAAAGAACCAAAGAATGCACCTCCTCTGAGGTGATACACTCTTGAGGAAACAAAAGGATGCYGCCTAAGACATTGGACAGGGAAAGGATTGAACCCTTAAAATGCTTGCCCTAAATCCCACAGGGACAGAGTATTTGCTACTTCTCTCCCATTCCCACTTCCTATCAAGGCTGGTCAGTCTTCACTCATTTCCTACTGATATTTAAAAGTTATGAGCTATTGTACCACACAATTTTCTAACACTGATGAAACAGTTCCAAGTTCTTAAAGAAGATAATTTTCCARTTGTTCCCCAAAAAATTCCAACCATACTGAACGACATTGTTCAGTTCTCATATTTCAAACCCACACCTCACTTTTGCCAGACCAATTACAGAAAAAAAA